ATAAAATCTATTTGAAACATTTTCCAAAATACGAAGTATGAGTTAGACATGCAGTTGAAATATTTTATTTGCATAATTAAGTGACTGTGTTCGGATAATCGAAATTCGAATAATCGGCTATTCAATTACACTGACTTTTTATCACAACGTCGCATGAGTCTAAATGAATCTTTGAATCTTTATGATACAAGATAGGTTTCAAGGTACCGGTTGTGCTTGTCGCAAAATTGTGAAAACCACATTTACAACCTTACTATATCGCTTCATCTTATACAGATTTACCGACGAGTTTTGCTAGCCGAAACACGTCCTTTCTCTTTTTCTTTTCATCCCTTTTTATTCCTCGCTCCTTCCAAGTCACAGTTCTATTTTCTTCTTAACACAGAAGAAGGAAGAGATTCTTTCGCATCATCTATCACTAATAATTGTCGAGAAAACAACTTGCAAGATTTTGATTTGCGGATCAGCAGGAGCGGATGGTTCTCGTTTCTCATTGAAGGGAAAACTACTTGAATAACAGCATAAATCTCATCAAAAAATGGCAAAATGTATTCCGGAAGTATTTAGATCTAAGCCAGATGTTTGGAAGTTTTATCGCTTCTCAATCTTCAGTTTGATTCATTAATAAAATCTTTCATTAATAAAAAAATCTCAGCCTTCGGCATGTCAAATCAGCATGGAAGTCACTTGGCGTTGAAGGAAACGTTGAAAATTTCAAATGGTGAAAAGAGCGTCAACTATATATTAAAATATTGTCACGCTCAAGTTTGGATGCTTCTGCAGTGTTTTACGATGTTTTGATTTTAATTGCGATTTTATTCGAATCAATCATGTCATTTTGAATTTATCGAAGTGTCATTTGTTTACCGGTTGCTCGAGCAATTCCGCGGTCTGAATCTGAGAAAAATAATTCCGACTCAATCGTTTATGCGTAGGGATCATCTTCGTGTATATATGTACATATGTACATATTCGTATATAAAAATTATCTCGGGAAACAACAAGGAAATCAAGGATTAGACTCCGCTTTATGAAACAGTTCATTTTTTCATTGGAAACTGAAAGCGTTCCTCACGTTCGCGCGGACCAGCCGCTGTACACTATGTCTTAAAACGCTATCACTAGTTTTGGACTCGATACTTTCATATAATTGATGCTTCTTCGCTAAATTATTAAATAAAAACCAAACTCTCGATCTGAACTTTCAGATATTTCCTTGCCGATTGATTCTCTTCTTTTCTTCTTTCTTTCGTCCTTCGAACGTTCATTCGATCAAAATAATTCGCAATTTCGAGATTTTACAGCATGTAAATGCCGACACGTCCCGTTATTATAATTAGTCGAATGGTTCAATTCATATCCGAGGTTTGATGTACCAAACGGACGGACTAGAATATTACTGCATACCCTCGGTGAAATTAATTACATCAATTACAATTGCAAGTGATAAAAGTGGTTCAAAACACGTATAATTAATAAATAACACAATTAATACAATATTTATATTTCGATATGATTGTCATTCTCGCAACTACCTCGTATTCGTGTCCTCTTCCATTGTTACGATACTAATTTCTGGCAATATTGCACATCGTTAACGCTCGATGTATACAAATATTTCCATCTTTAGATTTGAACAATAGTTCAAGCATCATAAATCAACTATTTTCCTAGTAACATAGATTTCCCATAAGAGGATAATATTTTTTATTGTAAATCTTGCAAATAATTTATTGCTTATTACTATACAAATGAATGTATGAAGTACAAGCAATGTACGTGGAAATTGATATACAAAGGATTCGTTACATCTCTTACGTCACAAATATTAATTTTTGAATTAAAAGTTCTTTTATTTCGTCTTCTCATATCTATTTCTTTATTTTCCTATCTTTTCTCGTGTAAAGTATTCCATATGTTTCATTCTTTTCATTAATTTGCTCGCGTACGAATTAGGAACGCAAAATATATAGAAATTCCGTTTGGTACGTTTACGGATACACAGGGTGTGTTGGTTTTCTCAAAAACAGTGCAAATATATTCTACGAATGATCTACAAATATAGGTTCATAAATATCTTCTTGAAAAGACACGGAAAACTTACAAGATTACGCCCTAGTTTTGTCGTTCGATAAAGGATAGAAATAGATTGGCGAAATTTATGTTAATTCAATTTTTCCTTTGAATGTATAATGAATTTTTTAATTAATTTCTGGCACATATCAATCCTTTTCTTTTTTAAAATCCTTGAAAAATTTATCAACACTTTATAATATACCAAAATATTGGTTCTTTTCGTTATTTCGTAGTCTTACAATTATTTTATTATAAACGAGCACTTATATACAACGAATGTATCATCATTATACAAACGAGAAATTGATTGATCGTTTTCGAGAAAAAAGCATTTATGAACCTTTATTTACATTTGACATTTTTCAATGAAATTCTTATTATTCGTAGAAATACGCCAGCATCATTTTGCGCAAAAACTGGAATACCCTGTACGCATAAATGTATACATGTATTTATTTACAAGTATGATGTCTTCATTTTATAATCTTAAATCAATTTTAACCATCAGAGAAGCAAACGTATTATTTGCGCTTGGACCACAAAAAAAAAGAAAAAGAAAAAGGAAAATAAGAAAGTACAAAGCATATGAAACCAAATTTTATGAATTAGTTGAGTTGGCAAAACGAAATCCCATGAAAGGTAAAATAACAATTGGCGTTAATTCTGTTCACTGTTCCTCGACATTGTACACCGTCGTCAGACAATGATACCAATCATATTCTGCACTATTATTGTGTAGACGATAATATTATAATTAATTATATAATATTTGTTATGTAAAAGACCAGTGTATTCGAATTTGAGTGAACAGGAATCACTGTTATCTGCCGTCGGTAATACGATACAACAGGCACCTGGCCTATCAATGGAGGAAACGTGTCGGCATGTAACGCAGGATCAATATGCTCAATCTGGCTGGAACAGCCGTTTCGACGACGAATTGGAGCAATGAAAAAAAAAAGTATAGTTATCGTATATATATTTACTTGTTATATGGCTTAACTCTCGTGACGATACCACAAGATTTTAGCGTGCGGTGAAGTCAGTCGTATTCACCGCGCCCCCACGACATCACGTCAATCGACTTTAATGCCTCGACACATCATTCTCTTGTGAACTGAGCAGGCATTGCTCCTCTCTATCTCTTTCTCGTTTTTTTTCCCGACCCACCCTATCCGAACGCATCGACTCTCTCTCTCTCTCTCTCT